TGTGAAGTGGGAGCGCTTCCGGCATAAGGCTGCCATGAGCGTGGGGAGGAATTGTGATGTGACTCCTACCCCTCGCTGTCAACCTTTTTGACCGGTTCATGCAGCGTTATTTCAATTGCATTTCCTCGAGTCATAGAATTTCTGTTTAGTGAGCCAAAGTTGGTAGAGCTAGAAGGTGGGATTGCGAAATAGCGGTGGCACTTGTCATAAGAAACACGCTTTCAAAAATCACAGTTGTTATGCCTGGCACCTAATCACTCCAATCGCAACTGTCCGGTGCAGCTAGAAATGAATCATCCACCGGTTGAAAAAGATCCAACCGTAGTTATTAACAGTTATGTGGTGTGCCAAAGCTTTAGCTTTGAAAAGCGTTTCCGCTATCATGCAATAGTATTGTATTTCTATGCACAAAAAAGCGTAAATAACAACAGTGTTCTTGCGGTGAAGAGGCAACAGGTGAACAAAAAATTTACTTCTTAGCTGTTTGGTTTCAGTATTTACACACCAGGAACGAAGCGCTTTAGTGAATGGATTTAAAAAGTGGACTCCGTCGTTAGATACGCCTGACGGACAATTACAAAACTTGTGGACTTAGATCTCAAAGTGTTAGGGATGCTGAGTTTGATTTAAAAGATTTAACCAATCACCACTTTTACAGCAGCCAAAGTGGTAAAAAAGAATGTCGTTTGTTCCAATTCCACGAGGAGAAGCCTAGAATCTCCCCAACTCCAACGGAATTTAAAAGCCTTATCAAAAAAAGCTATCAAGAGAAATAAATCAGCAGCAGTGTTGAAGTCTTCATTTAATTAAACAGTGTTTATCATTCCCAAGCTTATTCAACAGCTGTATTCAGTGTAGAAAAACCAAAAAGGGCAAAAGGTCGGTGGACCCGCCTCATGTGATTAGTCCTGCTGGTAGAGCAAAGTGCATTTAATATCGGTGAGAAGGGGACTAGAAGCTAAGAGCGGAGTAGAACAATGATAACAGTAAAGTTCTACAGGAAAACAGATCACCTTCTTAAACTAGGAAATTCATGCGATCAAGGAGTCAGGTTACACCACACCGCAACTACCTACACCGCGTGGTGTAAGAGAGCAAACCATTCCAAACCTTGTAAGGATCAAGTTTAATGCGACAGACAGCAGCATGGAGTCAAGTTTTTGAATACATTAGTGTACAGGGCTCTAATGCGAGGACAAAAGCTATATCCCTGCCGTTTAGCGATCCACCTTTTTTCCTTATTTTTGACGCATGTGAGATGATCAAAAGCGCTCAGGAGACGAGAAGGTCCTGCGAGTAACAAATAGCAAGGGCATCGAAATGTTCAGCCCATCTTGTGGACCCTATTCTTAATATTACACCAGCACCTTCAAAATAAAGAAGTTGCCCATAAAATACCATGCTTGTCAGACTTTGGAAGCATGAAGATTATGGAAACAATTTGTTACATAAAAAGCCATATGTGGGGAAAATTAGCATTTATTGGTGATAGAAAGTCAGTCAAATATCAAAATATATGATTGACAAATGAAGCTTGAATTAACAGAACAGAATGTAAAGAATTTGAAAGGAGCACAGATAGGTATGTGAAAAATGATGCAGAATCGACCGACGGAATTTGGGACAAACATTCAAAAAATCACACTACAACGGGCAGATTTACCCCTCACAAAAAATTCAACATATTTTCCAAAGATCGGAGGAAAGAGACGAATACACGGGGTTTTAGCACCAAAAAAGTATTTGATTCTTCTGCAAAGAGAAGAAGCGAGCGTACTCATTCCCAAAAGTCTGATTAAAGTCGTCACCATATTCAGGATGCCAATAGAGAAAGACGGTGAATTCTTTTCAAAGAGCAAAGCACTTCCTTTTGGAAATGCATCCTTAATTTTTCTTCATTCCCATTCCTGTCGCCCAAAGGCGAAATCTAACTGCTTGCAGCTGACTCCACCCTTGTAAATGAAAATAAACACAGTAATTTGCTAAGAAAATGAGCTGTTTGAGCAGAGGAAAAAATCTGGCAAGACGACATATGCTTATGAACACATAAACAGGCACTGGGCGACAAAAAACTGGCATCACCCCTGGGAGCAAGGCAGAATCAAAATCACCTCACTTGTGGGCCTCAAAACACTGCATTTGAATAAGCCAAACATCACGTGAAGTCTCATTTAGTCTCAAACGTCACACATATGTGACATGGGTCCTGAACAAATTGGTAGGATTTAGTGATAAAATAAGTGCAGATCGCACATAATCTGAAAACGTTTGACTGGTGTAAAGAGTAATTGGCACTTGTTCACTTCTTTGTGACCGAAGCTTCCTCTGGGACCCTTAGTAGCCTACACGTTAATAAAGAGTGGAGGTCTAGATCTTTTTGCTATCCCAACTCCAAAAGCATACCACAACTTGACAACAAAGGAAGTGTTAAGATCAGTGATACATGCAGTGAAAAATGAACAATCCCCAAGAGGTAAGTTCGACGGCAAAAAAACAACCGGACGAAAGCAAAACAGCCAATGAGAAATCGGGGTGGATTTCGAATTAAGTAGGACCGCGTTCACTGGTCAGCGGATTTTCGTGGATAAAAAAGGTAAAAAAAACCGAATCAGAAGAATACTCAATGTACTTGGTATTCGTACGAGTTCCACGCAGCGTTACGCTATCCTCTTAATTAATACAGTAGATTATGAGAATCGGACGCTAACTGTTGCTTCGAAATGTCAAAATACGGAATCAGTATTTGTATTTTCAATGAATCAGCTACTGTCCTCCTACCTTACTTTCGCATAAAAAAGCAGAATAGGAAACCAGTTAAACTAAACCGATTGGTAAATAGCATCGGTGCAACCTTTCACCAAAATCTATCACCTGCTGCTTCAGTCTTTATTCAAGAAACTCCTCCGCCACTTTTATCAATCATTTTGATGGGGAAACCTACTAGCGAATCCACTGTGAGTAGAAAAGGGTGGGCGTCCCACGTGGCCATCGCAGGGAGTCAATTCACGTCCAGTGAGAACCCCATAATGCCACTTTTTCTGCATACACACACACAAACACGCCTACATATTCTCTAGTGCATGTGACCCATTAACCAACAAATTCGGTCGATTACAACAACAAAATCCGAAAAATTGAGGACGCCTAAGAGAGGTCACATGAATGAAAGAGCGCGTGAAGAAGACGAGCAGAGTTTCAAGGTTTTTCCTCGACCCGTTTCCCGTATTCTTTAATCACATCAGCTACAGCATAACTGCACCCAAATGACAACAAGATGTTTTGCCAGCTGGAGGGGAGGGAGGACACGAACACGAGTCGGTTTAAAAACCAGTCCAAGCATCTAGCCAGCCAAAAAGACATTGGGAACGGTGTGTGTGCTACAGACAGGTGGGCCAACGGACAGGCACGCGCGCAAAAGCGGAGCAGAGAAACGGACAGGCAGGCATGGAGGCGGCAACTGCAAGGCAGGATTGAGGTGATACGAAGATGTTGCAGACAGGCGTGCGTGGACGCGCGCATATCACTTTTTGCCTGCACGACTTCAAGCTGATGCTTCGGTGATGGCTTAATTGAAGAGCCCCTCGGCCATTCATTCTAGGCTAGGCCAAAAAACTGCCCGCAAAGGACGGACGGCACGTGATGTCAGCGCAGCAGTGGTCAAAACAAGCCACGCATTCGAGTATGAGGAGGGGAACAGAGGACCATATGCTATGATGACACGACGCACCCCCAGTAGTGGGCGAAACAGTCTCGCCTTGCACACGATTCGCATTCAGATGGATGAGACGCGACATACGTCCAAAAGTAAAAGCCATCTATTTGAAACGCTCTTCAGTGTAAATCGCCTATTTAATCCAAGAAAGTCCACTATTTCTTCAAAAATAGAACTGCCCTTTCATCAGGAGTAAAGTAAAAGGAGGTACAGTTAAACTTTATGATAGTTGTTTAAATCACACGGTTGCCTAAAAGGTCTCCAATAGACACCAATGCAACCTGAATACTCCAGCAAATTCTCAAGTACAATTTGCTTCATCTTCCTCCGTTTTTTATTCTAAATCTGATATCATAGCACACATTTTCAGCAGTTACTATGGCACTGCTTACAATGCAAGCCAATGTGACAACGTAGTATCGAGGTTAGAAAGAGAAGAGGCTTTATCACACCTGGTTTTTACGACCATGTAGAAGAAATACAATAAAACAGCCGATGAATGGCAAAGAGACGAACTATCGGCAGGCATGTCGACAACGATCGAGACAATAATGCGGACTGATTCGGTGTAAGCGCTAAACACAAAAGTAATCCGACCCTATCTCGCTCAAGCTAGACTGGTGCAATATCCGACTTACGCCACCGTTAAACATCCATATTTTGAGTTAAGAGCCGTAAGATTCATTTACTTCAGAATCTGTTCTCATCCGAGAGCGTACAGTGGGACACCTTATTTGCCTGATTTCGCACAAATATCCACTTCCTTATCATCGTGCTTAGAAGAAAAAAAACAACTCTGGCATGTGGAAATCAAACCGCCACAATTTTGACAGCTGGGAGGGTGAGCGCGTTGAGAGACTACATAAAAAAGGGATAAAAAAGTAAGCGCGAGCATCATTGCCGGAGTAAAGGCGCCAAAAGCGCAGTAACGGCCGCATGGAAATGAGAAATCGCAGGAGAGCACAACAGGCGAAACTGAGCACAAGTGGCAATTTCTTTATTGAAAGAGGGTTCCGTTAACGAAAGGAATCAGAGGAAGGTTATCGCTTCAAATGAAACAAGGAGAGGTACACGTCTTCTAAACTAACTCTCAAAAATCCTTATGGTGACAGGATTAAAAGTAGTAGTTTCTGTCAAGGTAGAGGCATCTAACCAACAACGGGAAACGGCAGACTTGGAATGGAGGCTTTAACTTTTAATCAGAATGAAATATAGGTGTGTGAAAATACTTGAGCAAGAAGATATTGCTTAAAAACACAAAAAAAAGGTATTAGGGAGGCAGACAGACCTGAAGATGTGGCCACGAGGCCTCAAGTGTGGGTTCATCCTCCTCTGGATCAAATTCCGCGCCCGAGGGATTACTTGGCGGCGGAAGAGTGCGAAAGACGTTGGCCTCGATCATCTTCACCACTGCTGGGTAGATGGGTTCGGTGATGACATTGCCACTATTGCCGTTAGCACCGCTATTACCTCCACTACTATTGGAACCGCCACCACCTCTAGCCTCCAGCACATACTCAATCATCTCGTTGAGGATATTGCGCTTCACCTCCTTGCCTTGCAGGTCGGAAAGTGGGTCCGGTTGGAAGTCAAAGACAACGCAACATTGCTGAAGCTTCTGTAGAAACAACTGCTCTCGCTCCTGTGATGTTGCTGCGTCTACCACGAGAGAAAAATATGCTTTACTATTCCACACGATTGCTAATAGCACCTCGGGCACGTAACTTGCTAATAGGTCGTTGAACTACTACGATAGCTTGGAGGAGTAGCTGTTGACTAAAATGCAAAATCGAGGGTTGAACAATGGACGCGTACAGGCCGATAAACTCAAGTTTTGGTCGGTTTCTTGCACAAATGAGTACACACAGACTTATTCTAGTTCCCAAACAGAGTTAAAAGACAAAAAATGAGCACAGCTTCTCATACCAAAAGTTTTTACACTACTCTCTTTAAATGTTATCATGAAGAGGGTAGGCATCAAACTCATCCAGAGACTGCGAAAGAAACTAGTTAATTGTCTGCGAAATGTACGAGCACAAGTTGGCCAGGTACCATTTATACCAAGAATTCCGGGTTAAAGAAGAGTGAAAATGACTCTTATAAGGTAAGGACAGACACTTCCCCACATTTGCAGAGTCAGCTAAGATTTACTCCACCCTTTGCGAAAAAGCAAAAGAAGGATGCGAGTTAAAAGCGCATCTGGGCGTGCCTCCGTTACGTGCTCAAGAACGAACTACGGCTCATTAGAACATGTAATTAGACCCTGGAGCAGCCGTAACAGAAATAGAGAAGTACCAGATCAACAAGAGAACGAGAGAGCGCACCTTTGATGGCTGGCAGAGGGACCAGATGGCGATCCTGGCTGATGTTAAAAATGGATGAAGAGTGCCGCTTCTCCTTCAACGGGATAGGCGGACCGGCGTAGTTCTTATTCTTAATAAGTGGAGTAGGCGGTGGATGGGTCTCGTTGATGGATGTAGTAGCAGAAGAGGTAGAGGAAGCAAGACGAGCATTCTCCTTAGACGATGAAGCAGGAGAAGGAGGTGGAGGTGCAGAAGTATCCATGATACACAGATTGACCGATATGTTTGGTGTCACGCTAGATGAATGCAGAGATAAAATTGGTGAATCGGTAAAGAATGAGCCGGTCTGTAGGCACCAAAACTAATAGTATGCAAGATAAAGTCCTAGTCATGAAATGTTTATCCCGTTAATGTAAAAGCTCCAAATAGGAAATACAAAAGTTTGCAAATTTATAAAACAGCGGTCGCAAAAAAGAACACAAAATCCAGTACTATTTTTCGTGTACAAAGATGTGAATCTTTGTTTCCGACAAAATTTGAGGAAAATAAAAATTATTACGACAACTGAAGGATTTAAATTATATGGAATAAAAAATGGGAAGTTTGGTGAAGCATGCTCCTCAGAGAAGCCATTGACGAATCAAACACTATCGAAACGAAGATAGTTTGTGATCGAGTAATGGGGTACACAGAGATGCGGTCCAGAGAACAAAGCAATTGCAATCCAGCAACGTTCATATGAAATTTAAGACCTTATGTTGGCTGACCAGGAAAGAAAATAGAGCACCAAAGCGAAAGTCTCCTACAAACTGATTAGAGTTTCTTTAAGTAAAACATCAGACTCAAGGTATTTACCGTCGCAAATAAAGAAAAGCACCAGCAAAGACACAACGCGCAAACCCAAAAAATCGATCCTCCGCGAGTTTGCCGCTGCATCGCCAACGATTAAAACGCACTGCCTAGTTTACAGACTCCCAGATTACCAACGTAATCGCGCTAATTTGTTTAATTACTTATTTAAATAGTACTTTTATTCTGTATATTTTAATGCGCCACATATAATTCTCATTCTTTTTATAGAGATGTTGTAACGATTGTGCCCTCACTTGTGCTTTATAGTCTTTAAAGAGTCAGCAATCTTCTTTTTTTGAAAACATTGTAAGACCAGCAAAACTCATTTATGGATTTTTGTTTGAAACAGTGGTGCTGAAGCAGGCCATAGTCCAAAGGACACTGACTCTTGAAATTATTTTCCAAATAAAGCTCAGGATTCGCAAATTTTTAATATTTATCGATGTCACAGATTAATAATTAGATGCAACCTATTAGTTTCACTATTAAAACCTGTAGATTGATGTCTTTGTCATTTCTGCTCAAAATATTGATACGTATTTACTTATTTGCTCTTATGCTACTCATTAACCATCAAATTCTAAGACCCGTGTTATTTTTAGTGAAAAAAATCTAGTAAAAATAATGATTTTTTCACAAAAACACTTTAAACTACAGCGCAATGGGAATTTCCTGAAGATGATCGAAGCCATATAACTTGAGAAGTACGTATTGTTGACGCACATAAGGTGCCAAGGGCTAATTACACCCCCTTGAGGACAGGCCGTACAACAAATGGACAGAAGTAGGGTGCGTTACCGAAACTGCGAGTAAGCGAAGTACCTTGTAGCTCCCGTTTCCATTTGATCGCTATAGCCTGCGCGCTCCTAGGTCAACCTTGAGCTTCTGTCATCACAACTTGGTGCTGTAAGGAAGCACGTTCACTAGCCATCCTCACCAGTCATCGTATTTGTGTCCAACTGTAAAGATGTTCCTCTGCAACGTCACCAACCTCTCTTGGCAATTCCGTTCGATTCCGAGTTTCACCTGTTCGGAAATTGTGGCAAGCAACGACCCAGTGTTCCTGAAAGAGCTCGACGTTCTCTAACTCCAGCGAACACAATAGGACCGGAGCCTCAAAGCTTCCTCCACTGCATTTCACCGACAGACATTGAGTGACCCTTCGTTGATTCCGTTACCAGCCGTATGACGGCGTTTCGTCGTGAACCAGAATATGGTTTTACACTCAATTCCTCTTTCCTATCGGGTTGGCGGCACGCAGGATAGATGATGAGTAGGAAGTCTGACTTCTAATGCAAAAGCACTGAACGGCTCTACACTAGAAGTACACCAACTTTAATCTATCAAAGCCCCCAAAGAATGCAAACTTTGACGTAACCCCACCCTTACTGAATGACATTTTTGGTGAGCAATCTTTACTGTTCAGTCTACGCTGCAACTCCTTGAAGGTGAAATAGCACGGTGTTGAGGAACACATGACCTACGCAGGAAGGGTTAACCGTCAGTATAAACTCTTCAAACGAGAGGAAATGATTGTTGAACGGTTCAGTTGCTTCATTCTTCTCCGTGGTCTACAGTCAACCATTAACTCTGACATACGCACCGTTCTTATATGATCCTGTTGTACATAAATTCATCTAATCCATCCCGCAAAAACATAGTCGGCCAAAATTTAGTTAATATCCCAACAACCAATATTCAGATTCCAGTTCGAGGGAACTCCTCCTTCTTCCTACAGGCGTTTTGAGGATTGGCATTTTGACTCGTTACAATGGTGATCCCACTGGTCTCGTTCATCTACCCCAAGGCAGTCAATATCGGGCATAGAAAACGATACTAAAGCAAAACAAAACAAAATTTCTAAAGCAAATAGCATCACTAATAGAGTCAATGGCTATCCAGTGAAAATACTGCGGACAACCTCTTTAGATATCGTCACTGTACCGTAGAAACAATGGCATGGGTATGTGAGATTCCCGGTGTCTGAAACTACTTGAAGCTCCTGAGGTGTAGGTAGAGGCCAAATGAAACATTCTGAAGAACTCCAACTCTGTGACACATCATTTCTCAGGAAGCACTGCGCCACGAAGGACAGTTGAGACCTACTTGGTCTTGAGTGGTTTAACAACGCAGTTATGGACCAAATACAGATCAAATCCAAGTTGATGGCAGTCCTGGAGAAGGTTACTTCAGCTTTCCCCTTTGTCCATCTTTTTTAAGCTCTTCCAATGGCTACTAATGAAGTTAAAGAGGCAACAAAATCCTACGCAGTGTTGACTTAGGCTTTACATTACATCGGGAATAATTGGCCTCCTCCTCAACTTTATCTGAACAATACAAAGAGATTCATATCTAGTTCTGGTGGATGCTTTTTCCAGGTGGCCAAAGATAGCACCAATTCTTCATCCAACACAGGCTCCTGGACACTTTGGTAACGGACAGCGGAATATGACGCACTTCGTAGGATTCCAGGACTTCTAGCGTCAACCCGTTACTGCATATAGTTGTTCCTCGCTTCTAACCGTCAGTCAAATGGACAAGTGTAGTGGCTCTTTGATACTTTCAGGAGAGCACCACTGAAGTCACAAGGGAAGGGGGGATTATTGCCTTGCAAAGGCTTCTACCGGTATGTCGGACAACTCCAGCAGAATTTGAGCAAAGTTGTGATCACCAGCGGGGGTGTTAATGGAGAGCATGCCTCAATCAGTCAAAGCGACAATAATTCAAAGGTCAGAAAGCGGTCCTAAAAAGCATTGACAGGATGTCACAACGATATTCAAAACAATTGCTGACCTCTGCGATCCCGATTATCGGATAGGATGCAATAGATGGATAGCTAAAGAAATCTTGGGCAGGCGTTATATTCCACGCAAAGGCTAGAAAGGAACAATCAGATGAGGCAATGCAACCAAGAGGGTCTGGGGCACACAGAGGAATCAGCAATCCAACGTGGTGCCATGCTGATGAACATAATGCTGGACGACTTTCAGATACTGCCTCAGAGCACACGAAGCATCTTCTTAGGAAAAGTTAAGATGGTAGCTTAAGAGACATGCAAGCAGCCTATCAATCCTTTGTTTCCCAGGTGTGGGGTATGAAGGATTCTGTCTTGCTTTTACACTCATATGGCACACTTTTACATTGATTAGACCTGTCATGGAAAGATTGCCGAAAATTACCTTGAGACAAAGTGGGGAATCTGTATTATGAGTACCACGATAGTGATGTAGATGGCGTACGATTAGATTCACTGTGGGACTCAAAAACCAGCCAGGCTTGCAGTTATACTCTTACAATACCCTATCAGTGGGAGAACCAAGAAAGGGTAGCCGAGATGACGTACATTTGAAGTGGGAGGACCTGAAGCGCTTAACAGCTATGACAGTGTAAGGGATGGTTGATGCATCCGGCCAACAGAGCTTGCATCCAGTTGTGGAAGAATAAAATCCAGGCTCTCTGCGAGGACTAAGGGCGTGCAAACAGTGGGCGTGGTAAAGTGATTGGAGGAGAAGGTTCAGAACCAGACAACGTTCCAGGAGGATGGGTACTTAAAGCAGTAACTCCACTTCGGCAACTGACACTACGTCAAAATTACATCTCAACTCAAAATATTCTCCTTTTTCAGGTCGCTGATGAAAAATAAGTAGTTGATCGGAGGGTATTTATAGTTGTGACTACAATCCACAAGACAGCCGTGTTTATGTGTCTCATAACTCCGCAATCTTCGTTTTACCCAATAGCCAAATTCGTTTTGCCATCTCAAACTTATGAAGAGAATTCTAATTAATCCGTAACAATAAGTGACAACTGATTAACGTTGATGGATCGATTTGGCCAACCATAATCGGTGACTGAAGCCACATCTACACCACAAAGATTACTCTTATTTCCCTAATGCTTGTCATAACAAAATTACCCAAAAATAAAATTAATTAAAGGTCACGTAGGTTAAAACTTATTAGAAAGTTTTGCCATGAGAGCCAGAGGAAATCCAGAAAATGGTGATCAGTAGCACTGATAAGACAATCAGCTTAATACGTAAGACACGAGAAGCCACCTAAGCAGGAGGATGTTTGTTGAAGGTCTAATGCGAAGTTGCGGAGCTCATTAAAGTACGTCCCTCTCCCGCACAATACGACATTAGCCCATTATTTGCCTTTTCATAGAGGCTAGGCTTCAAAGCATGGAATATACACACCCACAAGAGCTAAAAATTCCTGTATCAGCAAGGCATCTTTACTTCATTTGAAAAGGTTACAGATGTGCAGCCTTGAGACATCATGACAAATGCAGAAACACTTGGAGTAAGCCGGTTATACAGGATTGGACAAATAAAAGGACGCAAATTGACACCGCGGAAAAAGAACGGAGGAGTGAGTATGAAGAAATAGAAGCAAGAAAAGATCACACGGATCTAGTAGTGAATACAGGGTAAAAAAGAGAGAAGGGCAGATAAAGGTGAAGTCAACGTCACGGGATGCAACGCGCCAGCAGTTCCTGTCTACCAAATTATATTTCCACCAAGTTGACCCCTAATGTAGCAACAGCTGCCATTGTCGATGCTCGCCTCCACTCGGTCTGTCACAAGCAAAAAAGAAGGCACAAATAAATCGCCAAGGTATGAATCCAGGATGATTAATTAGTCAGTTATATACCTGTCGTACAAATTAACCAACAACAGAGCTCCACCAGGAGATAGCATTGGATAATGAAAGTGACAACAAGTGCAGATGGCGACACCGACACGAACAGGGCTGCGGTTGTGATCACTTCTAAAGAAGAAATTGATAAAAGAAAGAAGGAGAAGGAGGCCAGAACATTTGAAAGCAGACCGTTAGCATGCGTTAATCGCCCTACCGTGTTGCTTAAAAAGATCTCGGAACGTGCAGAACGGCCTGCTGCGACTACCCAAACGACCAGCCACCACTACACCACACTGCACTGCACCTCTTGTCCGGTCCCTTCACTCACCTATTCAACACAAAAAGCATTTCAACACATCCGACCTACCTCTGAAACTCCCTCCCTGCTCGCTTCAGACGTTTGCGCCAACAAACGATGCATCAGTCGGTAGTTGCATCACCAACGCTTAATTCAGCCTCCACCGCCAATAACATCGACATCAATACCTATCTGTACTTTTCGAAACAAATTGCGAAAAGCAGCTTTTTGTAGCAAAAGATTTTCACAACCAGAGAGCAAGAAGAATCCTGGCAGGAAAGGGCGTTTTCCTTCTATCACAAACTAACGTCCACAACTCCGATCATTAAAATACCCACTGATATCATTCGCAACTCGGAAATCATTGAAGTACCGATCGGAAAAAGGGTTTTTAGCAAGCGGATTCAGAACCTTGTGCGGATGCATTCATTTTGGCCCAACAACCACCTCAGTGGAAGACATTCTGGCGGACGAGTCTAGAATTAGATATTTGGACTCCAAAAAAAGGATTCAAAATTATTCCAATTAATTTAAGTAAAACCAACCTACCAGTCCACGCAGAGAATGAAAAATGATCTCTGCCATTCGGATGAATCCCGTAGCTTGCGGCACCGTTGCTAAGAGGCTCTTCCTAAAACACAGTCCAAAAGCAGAAATGCTACAAACATCACAGCCTGGGCAATAAATCTAACCAGCTGAAATCACCTCTCAAAAAGTCATTTGAAGCCACTTTGCTCTCATTTCAGCCTCCTCCTCCACCATCACCACTTCTTTACAATGACGGAAACAATCTGCCACTTCGGCACTCTTCATCCTCATCCTTCCTCTCCATTAAGCATTGGATACAAGACGGCGCAACAGAAATCGAGCATAACAAAACACAACACAATAGGTCACGTAGCTGCCCTATGTGCTTGCTGCAACTCCACCTTTAGGGGGTAATTTCGCATGCCATTGCGCAGGATGCAAAACGGAACGAAATGGGTGGAAACAAAGCGCATTGCAATGCTTTGCAATGTGTAGGTTTAACCACTTCCTTCCGGTCGGTCAGTTAGTTAGCCGTCCAGGCATTCAGCCAGACAACTAGATGGCGACTAAATGCTTCCACTCAGCATCAATCAACATCCAACAAACTGACACAACTCAGTTGCACAGAGTAAAATTAGCAGTCGTATCGTGTAGAGGCGAGTCTTATCCAGTCAAATAAATGGGGGAGAGTTAGCATAGAGTAAAGGAGATTTAACGTGGCACTCTGCTCCCTCATTTCATTTAACTATCTCTCCGGTGTTTTAAGCAATCATTTGTTACTGCACCTCCTTGCCGCATCGTCTCTTCATCTCCTCTCTCATCATATCCGACTGATGGTAGCGATGACGTCTACCTGCACTTGATCTGTCTTGCCCATTCACCACCTTCTTCCTTCCACAACTCACAGATACCAAAACGCATCCATCTGAACAGCTAACCATGCAGTGTGTCAAAATGACCTCATAACAACGGCCACACCAACTGCCAAGTCAAGGCAAGAAGCGTTTCAATATCATCATTCTACCGCTACCTCTATCTGCCTGCCTCCACCTTGCTTCATTTGGCAGCGCAGTTACAGCAGCTTCGATAGGGACAAGAGATTGTTTTAAGGGGGCACCAGCCACAGTGACAGCATGGGGTCATGCAATCTTTGTGCACTTTTCATTGCTAGGTGGCACAACTGTCAGGCTGCCAAACCTCTAACCACCGTGAGTAAATCAAATATGATCTCTGCCACTGAGTAAATTCACTGACACTGCAGCACACGCAGCGCACTAGAGGGAAAGAGGGGTGGAGATGGCTGCGGAAATGCAATTAAGAAAAGGATAACATAAAAACTTGGTGGGGACAAAAAAGAGCACACGTCGTATGCACTTATATCCGCCAGATGCCAAGGTCAAGTTGTTTTCTCCACGCTGGACGGCGTAGCTGTCCTGCAAAGGGGCAGAAGATAATACTCCCTCAAGTATTGCCTTAGCAACTTTTCCTTCGGTGATCACTATGGCTTCATCATGCTCCGATGCCGAAGTTGACAGCCACAAGCATAATCCATACACGCAGCCCAACCACCTTTCCACACCGATTACATGAGTCCTTGCATTTGACGACAGAGAAGGTGGAACACAAATGTGCATCACTGGCACTTTGTCTACTTGTCAAGAGCGATCAGACAGGTAAGCAAGGTTCTTTTGTACTCCCAGCAGCATTCCATTGCAAGTAGTTTTACAGTATTCTGACATGGTTGGACTTCTCACAAAAGCCCACTTCCACCCAGTCCACGTCAATGCAGCTCAGTTTATATCAATTTCATGCAATACATGGCGCAATACACCATTATAAGTACATAAAGCCTTTGCGCCCACGTAAACCTGAACATGGTCGCGATCACAGCCCAGAAGAAATTGGAGATGGGTCGATGACGACGAAGAAGGTAAGTTGTGAGCACATCGTCATGGCCACGCGTTGCCATGTAAGCGTATCCAAAAACATTGGAAATAATGTAGATCTTTCCAAATGAGAGCGGATAATGCCATCCGTATCAGTTTAAGCAACACAGTACTACTACACTGCGCAACACTTTATGCCAAATTCCATCATACAACTTGTCAAAGCATGCATCCTACCTCTGCCACTTCATCTGCCTACTTGAGACCCACTAGCCTCGTTCGTCCACGCCTTTACAGAAGCAAAAAGAGCATCTCGATTAAATGGGAGCAACCTTGATGTGGATAAGGGAAGTGTCACGTGGACAATAGCGGCAATAACAGTACTGGCGTTATGCAATCGTCGTACATTTCCCACTGGCAGAAAAGTCAACAACGGAATTGACAGATTGAGAACGACAGTAAACAAATCAAGCATAATCGCCACGAATTAATTGATTCATTGATGATGCACCAGACGCACAGTGAGAGGTTGGGGGAGGTGGAAAGGGTGGGAGATAGCCACATCGATACACTTAAGGAAGAGGGAAGATACGAAGTTAATCGAAACAGGCTAGAGTTCATACATCAAAATGTCAAGCACGATACCACAACATCCTTTGCAATGAATTAAATCAGATGCAATAACTTTGCATTAAGTGATCTGGGGCCATTGTGCTATCTTCCTCATCCTTCTCCTCTGCCTCTTTCTCAAGGCGAGAGAAACTGTTCATAAACACATCCTCCTCCTTGCATTGGGTAGCATATACGAGAGGCCGCAAAAAGGGGAGAAGAACAAAATGGCACAAAGCAATTCATCAAATGGCTGTCCCGTGTGTGCTGCAACTCCAACTTCCGCAACAACCCATTCACGGTTAAGTGGAAGCCAATTCTCCTGCCATATTGCAGGGACGAAAACAAAAGGAAATGGGATGAAACAAAGAACAATGCAGTGTTTCGCAATCCACGAGTCCAACGACCTACTCCCACTAATTGATCAGTCAGTAAGGAATCGAGTCGATAGTTGAACATCTCCGGTTCGCAGTTTTCCGTGTTAACCTCTCGGTAGGACGAGGTAAAGAAGGACAGTCCGCTCCCTTTCAGTCAAGTACGGTAGAATAAAGCGAAATAAACGGAGGTAAATGTAGAGTGGCTTTCTACTCTATCATTCCATTCACAAATCCACCCATTGATCACTCTATCAACTGTCTTTTCCTCTATGCAGCAATTGTCTATCCACTTGCCAATGCTGTTTTAAGCCATCACAGCCACGCCTCCTCCCCCTCATGACATCTGGCTGACAGATGGTAGTGACGGCTTGCTGCACCAGCTGTAGCTCTTGTAGCACCAATTGCAATAACAGCACGATCCAACTCACAACTATGTGGACAAAAGTACCACTAGTAAATGAGATCAGCTTTGATGTGAACATCAGTCTCTGTCGCAATGACAACGACGGCGTTCAGAGTGTTGACGTCTTGCAATGGTCCCCCAGTTCCCACTAGTAGGCAGATCGCCTGACAGTCTGATTAAAAGCAAACCATTATGAATAAGTCAAGCATGTTATCCACCACTTAATGGAGTTATGGATGAATCAGTGGCCACACACATCGGAGGATAGAGAGAGGAAGAGAGTAAGAAAGATCCATTTGAAGTTCCATTCGATAAAACGACGGTCCTGGCAACTCAAAACTGAGATCTTACCCCATAGTCAAAACAACTAACAATTCGCTAAACATTTACGGTCATTTTCCTTAATCTTCATCTCGTTGGCGGTTCTTCACTTTCATTTGGGGAATGCTTATGCGTGAATAAAACATTTTGAACTACTAATCAGCGCATATAACCTTTCACCACGATGTCGGTGTAATTTCTTGACTGATTTGGAGTCGAATTGGAAACGAACTCGAGGAGAGTAAGCAAGAAGAGAACGTTCTGAAAACGTAGTTATCAAGCCTCATTTCTGTTTGGTATAACTAGTTGTCATAGTTCATTTCGCAGGTACTTATTCTTCTCAAAAGGTTGCAGCATTTGTTTAACAGCGGTGATAGGAGGTAGTTCTGTGATAACCGCATTAATTTCAGCGGAGAGGCTTCGCAAGAATCCTTTCGTATCAATATCCCCAGCCTGCAAAAGATTACACCTCGCCTGGAAATGGAAGCCATTTGCGCCGTCGGGGCTAAAATCAGTTAACTTGGAAGTCACCTCGATGCAGAATAGGTGCACTGTAGAAGGATAGTCAATATGCAATGGAGAATCAGTCGGGGGGCATTCTTTCAGTAAATTAGTAGCAAACGTAGGGTGTGTTTGATTCTCACGATGAAAGAAGTTCACGTCTAGCAGAAAGTGACAGCCTTTAAAAAACTGCTTCTTTCTTATTTCATACATAGCAGCGTTTGCGCTACATTCTGCAAGCCAGTGTGTGAAAGTGAAGCATGCGCAACCTAAATTTGCTTGATTTACACTGAAATAAAAACTAGATGAAAAAGAGGGTTGATTCCAGGCAGTAGAAGCGAATACGGCAGACCCCAAAGTGCCGGATACAAATGAAATTAAAAACAGGAGACTGCTAAAAGATAAAGCAAAAATTAGGTATTTTTATTGGTTGCACCAGTGGACCAATTAGAAAGGGGAAAATATGTCGTTTTCGTGCGCAATCCCGATGCATATTTAGTGCACCACTTGGAGAAAGTCACTTCCGAAGTGCTATTCCATCAGCATCATGGTTAGGTCATAGCGACTGGAGTCTACTGCCTACCAGCGAGAGATGGTCCAGTAAAAACTGCGACTAGAGTATGAGGGGCAAGCTGCAAACTACCAGCCAATTGTGGTTGCGCTAGCACCAGCACCACCAAGAGCTAATTAAATAGCAGGAACAGAAAGAGCAACAGCACCAACAGTAAACGAAAACAGCTTAGATTGCAGACAACAGTCTGTGTTAAGATGACAACAGCGACAATGAGAGTGGCAGCGTCTTCCAATTGTTGCGCACTTTTCACAGGTGGGTAGATTAAATAACAGACTGATAAAATGTCAACAACATAATCTTTCCATATGGTCAACATAACAGAAATTGCTCCTGCCTCTCCCTCACGAAGAAGAAACCAGCCTGCCACCCAGAATTAACATCTCAGCCTTCCTCATTCTTGCAGTGCATATCAGATGACACGAAAGCAAGCGTTGATTACAGCACAACACAACAAAATCCATAGCATGAACGTTCCCTGCGTGCTAAAACTTCACTTCTAGCAATAAACCATTTCATACCATAGTGCGGGGGGAGGAGTAAAAATAAAGGGTAGATAAGAGGCCAACAATCAACTTTGCCAACCAGTCAGTCCTGCATCCGGACGTCCAGCCAGCCAAATTGTTGGTGGTTAAACTTCTCCGGTCAGTAGCCTCCTGCGTTAACTATAGCAATCGGCAGTCGGTAGGGAGAAGTAAAACAGGAACAGTCGTGATGTGTCGAGTTAAGCCGAGTCCGGTGCTGCCCAATTAAACAGAGTATAGTGAAGTAGGGGAAAACAAAGTGAAAATTGTGGTGATCCGCCGCATTATTCCTTTCGCAGATCCACCTATTCCCCGCTGCATCGTTCCATCTATCCTGCAGCCATCCCTTTACCTAGTAACGCTATTTTAAGCAATCACTTACTTCTGCGCCTACTTTTTCGCATCATCTCCGGCTGACGGCTGACTGCATTCTCCATTTCCTTCCTTCCATAACTATCTGGTCGCAAACATCTCCATCCTCAATACTAACTATCAATGGCCTCAAATAGACCTCACACCAACAATAACAGTAAATGCAACCTCACCACGTGCTTCCTAGACTTCGTCCAACATGCCACTGAATTCTAATCCAATCATGCAGAATTCTTTCGTTCCACTCTATGCCAATCCAAATCAATGCAAAGCTATTCATTACATAGCATTGCAATCCAATGTAATACAATATAGGCTGATAAGCTGCAAATCACGGTGAACAAATCAGACCTGAACTCCAAGATTGAGAAAGGAAATGAGGTAGCCACATAGATGTGCTTACGAGAAAGACTCTATAAAATGTAAGTCGAGACATAGTAGAGTCTACACATCACATAGGATAAACATACGAGAGAGAAAGAAGAATAGAGGTAGCCACAGAGAGACTTGGGAGAGGAAGAACATAACAAGTAACTGAAAAGCGCAACGCTTCCTGAAACACCCAGATTAAAGGAACTAGACGCTGCTACCACTATGACGTTGACATTGAATTAAGCTGGATCTAATTACCTCCAATGAATTGAGTTAGAACCAACCTTCCCTCCATTCCTCCTAGTCCACCTCTTCTCCACACAAACAAAAACAGTCTGCCACCTCGAAGTCTACACCTCAGCCCTCTTCACGCGTCTCCTCATCCTTCTTGCGTTGAACATAGCACAGGGAACACCGCAAAATAGTCCTGGAATGACAACGTATCACAATTCATCACATCGCTGTCCCGTGTGTGCTACGACTCGGAAGCCACTTTCCTTGTCACGTTGTAGGAAAGAAAACAAAACACAGGGCAGTGTATTACTTTGCAAGATATTAGTCCAACAATTTACTCCGTCCAGTTGCTCAATCAGTTAGGAATCTAATAGATTATGCAAATGGCCAGTAGATAACATTGAACGTTTGCCACGGCTGTAGCCACGACCGCGGCTTAGAGGAAATGGGGGAAAAGGGAGGACGAATGGATTTGCAAGCAGGTTGTTAGCAGATTGCTATCGCCCGAGCGTGTCGTGTAAGCGGATCCGGGAACATGGAGAACAAGATCTTATCACTCGAATACGAAATTGACCAGCTGCAACTATCTACAGAACCAACTGCCACTACAGTCATGTCACGTCCATTCCAATCATTCACCTTATCAATGTAATAAGCGTTACAACACATGCAACCCCCTCACTGCCTCTACCTCTGACTGCTTCCATCCAGCCCGCTTCAGTCGTCCGCACCAAAAAGTAATGGTTGATTTGGCAATAGCATAGCCGACATTACATCCACCTCCTTTCGCACCCTCACCAAAGCCATATAGGTACCAGCTGTAACATCTCCAGCACGAGTTACTGTAGAAACAGCAACAGTATCACAACTAAACGGAACCGGCTTCACCTGTGTTACGAGGGCGACAACGACAAGGACAGGTTTGGCGTCTTACAGCAGTGGAGTACTTTCCTATGGCAGGTGAGTTGGCTGAGAGGCAGAAAAATGGCGAACCGGTGAGAGGTAAAGCGAAAGAGGGAGAAGGTGAGGGAGATATCCGCAAAGTTGCTGTTGAAAGGAGAAAACGATATTTCAGTGGAGACAGACTAGACTTCACGCATCCCATCACAAAGCACTCAGACCAAAATGCAAAAAAGCCGCAATCTGAAAACTCTTGGCCACTTCCTCACAAGGGCAACCGGTTTGCCACTTCAAAGTCCGCACCTCAACCCGCTTCCTCTCAATTACAGTGTTAACATCTTATTGTCTTCGCGCGCTTCTCATCAGAAGGTAGGTCAAATGGCAGGCTGATAAACAGCCAAACAGATTGAATGACAGCCGTGATGATGCAGCGGACACGCACACACACGCAGCAGAAGGTTGAATAATAGACATTGCCGCATGGAGGCGTTTGGGGGAGGGAGAACAAAGCAAGCTAGTCGAGATGGACCAAAGTGCAGACCTCGCATCGCTCAGCAATCAGCCATCAGCAATCAGAAAGGATACAACCACTATATTTTTCGGCATTGAATCAAACCAGCTCCAATCACCTCACATCAAGTGAGGAGTTAGGGCCAGCTTACTCTCCTTACTGTTCATTTCTTCACCTCTGCTTCCTCAGTCTCCGATTCTATCTTACCACAAGAAAAACAGACCGCCACTTTAATGTCTTCGCCTCAGCCACCGCCACCATCATCATCACCCCATCCTTTCTTTGAAATCGACATTGCAACGGAGACACCACAAGACACTCTATCACATGGCTGTTTAATGCTTGCCACAACTCCACTACTCGCAATAATTCATTCACAATTGGGAGCCAATTGTTACGCTATAATGTAAGGTGGGAAAGAGAACGGAATAAGAGGAATCAAAGCACAATGCAGTACGTCGCAATGCACGAGTCCATCAGTCTACCCCACCAATCAGTCAGCTCGTTAGAAATCAATCTGAAAGGGAAAAAGCCTACAAATCCGGGGCCTCCTGTGTTGGCCTAAGCAATACGCACCTCTCAACGAGATACAACCCAGCGGAACACAAGGAGGAAAATGTAGTCAAGTGGAGACCTTTTTGATCTAGTTCAGTAAAGTGGGGCAGATTAAAATTAGGCACGGTAAATATGGAGTTGCGATTACGTTCCTTTTCTGACTAATGCCACTATTTGCAGCCGTGAAACATGAACTTCAGCACTAAAACGCCTCCGAAATGAGCAACTAGACGACTAAACATCAAAAGCACATCTTATTCCAACTTCAAACTTGCGATGGTTAATGCCGATTCATTCGAAATAATATGCGAATTCCATCATACTGCATTAAAAAACTTTCAACACCCGAAGGGATATAACAAAATTCAATAAAAATACCGTTAATAAAACTCACCCCTAGCCTGAAAAAAGGGCTCTTGTTCAACCTGACTCACTGCCATGTCCCCAATGATTCCGATGTCCGTAGTCAGCATTCGCAACTCAGCATTTATCTGGGTACCGATCATGTAGTGGATTGGGAGGAAAGAAAGACGGTGAAAAAGAAATTGGCATTCAAATGCAGGCTGTCAGCATATCCTCACCGTCGGGCCGTGCCGTTCAAGCCAATAGAGGAATATGGAGTCAATACACACGGATACCACCAGATGCCACAATCCACAATTCTAGTACGATTATAATCAAATTCATGTCCATCCACTTCATTTGCCTTTCAAACGCAAGAAGCATTGCTCCTGCCTGATTCAGTCGATCGCTGTAATAAGGGAGGTAATAGGTAACACTTGCATCGCTAAAATTGCATCCACCTTTGCACCATTGTTCTACTCCTATTTCACTTGCATTGTGACGGAGGCCACACAAATACCAGTTGTAGCACGTGAGACACAAGTTGGAGCAACACCACCACCATCAACAGCTACATTAACAACAACAGCAGTAGCACCCCTACAGTAAACTCTAACAGCTTCAATTCGTCGACAGCCCCTGTAGCGAAGAAGATATTAACAATGATAATGTCGGCCTCTTGCAATCGTCGCGTACTTCTTACTGCCGACAATTTGCGAACTACCATGAATGAGTCGAACATGATCTCCACGATTCAACACACTCATTGACAATGCAGGGGACATAGGTAGTGAGGGGTAGAAAAGGCGAGGAGAGAGAAATAGCCACATTGATGCAATCGGAAAGGTGATTTTAGAGACCGCAGTCCACACATGGCATCACATCGGATATCACTCGTCCGAAGAAGACGAAGTAGGAACACAATCACCACTGCTCTTGCAGCGAGCCGAAGCCCTTGTCTCACCCTCAAACAGGGGTAGGATCCTGCCGCCTCACAGTCTAAACATCAACACTATTCATCCTCATCTTCACCCTCCACTTACCATTTCGGCACTGCATAGGAGACAACGCCAAAGAAGATGAGAATTACAATACAACATAATCCATTACATAGCTGTCCCATGCGTGCTGCAACTTCACCTCTTGTAACAATTCATTCACATTTGGAAGCCGAGTTTCATACCATTGTACGGGAAGGAAAAGTGGGCTTAAGAGAAGAAAACAAAGCGCAAAGCAAGGATTTGCAAGACACGAGATTAGCTATTTACCACCGAAGCAGAACCACCAACGGCGGCAGGATCAGGATCAACAAAGCAAAAAGCTAAAGGAAGCAGCCTAGATACGGATAGTAGCCTGCGCCAGGAGGACAACAGCAACAATGCGACAGGTGTCGTTTTGCAATCGACTCGCACTTTCCGCTGATAGGTAGATCAACTGACAGGCTGACAAAGTGCAAAGTATTGTGACCAAATCAAATATGATCTCAACGATTGAATTCATTCATTTGTAATGCAGCGTATGCAAACTGTGAGGCAAAGGGAGAAAGAAGATGCGCATCGGCATGCAGATCCTTTAGATGAAATGGCGCTCCCAGCTACTCAAATCCAACATCCTCCTCTAATAAACAATTTGAATCTATTCTGACGATCTATGACTGACATTCTGCCTGCCCCCACCTGACTGCGGTCGTCTGAGCTAACAATTCATGCGTCTGTCAGTAGTTGCATTGTCAACACCACATCCACCTCACCTGCCTCCTCAACCTGTTGTATCCTGACTGTAGCACATGCGGCACCAGTTGCGACAGCGGCGAAACTGCAAGCACCACCGCTGCTGTGATACGTGCAATACCGACACTGACAGTGTTGGAGTCTTGCAATTGGCGCGCGATTCCCACAGACAGGTAGATCAACTGACAGACTGGCAAACTGCGAACAACTGTGAGCACATCAAGCACCAGACCCATCATTCAATTCACTCAATGACGATGTAGAAAAGACATGCGCGCTCAAACAAGTTAAAGTGGAGAAAGGGCGAAAGATAACCATATCAGTGCAGGCAGGAGAGGGGAAACATGGCAAGTTAGTTTACAAGCGGAAGCGAATTTTTATGCCACTGTGCAAGGTTTCGCAACACACGAGACCAACAATTCATCACCTCCAATTAGTCAAGCCGCCAGCCAGCAGGTCAATCAGCAGTCTCCCTGCAACGCGACGCTGATTAGCAGGGCAGTGTCCGAACCACGTAGCAGAGTGCAGCCGATCCGATTCGATGAAATCGTCGTAGTTGAGGCATCCATCCCATATCCACATATTAACTTATTCTTTTGCATTTCAGATTTGAGGAAATCCCCTTCTCAGAGTTGCTTTTCTTCCGATGGCACAGAATATCATCTTCAATTCGCGTTCCTTCCTTATTTGGCAGAGCAATCAGATAGTCTGTGTTACTCTACATCTTACCGTGTATTTCGCTCCAAAAATACCGCCAACGCAGTAGAAGTTACCGTCAGCAAGAATCTCAAAAGTCCACCCTTTGATATGAACGACACATTGATTACAAACGCCGTGCATATCTCGATGTCGTTCCACTTCGAAAGCCAATGTGTCACACATCATACAAGTCAAAATTGCTTTACCTCACAAGGTGGACCTGGTAGAGGAATAGCATAACAAGTGGGTCGATGCAGACTTGAGCCCGCACACCTTTTGGGATCGTGAAGCACATAGTTCTAAATGCAGAAACGTTACAACTGGTAGAGACAAGGAAGTGGATCGAACCAGCTTCAATCATCTCGCATCAAATAAATTACGACCACTTCGCTCCCCTTCTCTCCGTCTCCTCGCAACAAAATGTCTGACGCCTCAGAGTGTAGACCCAAGCCCTTTCCATCCTCTTCCTCATGTTTATACGCATCCTTTACCGCCTACATCCCCTCTACCTCTTGTTGAGTGAAGCAGATCTACACAAAAATCCTTTAGATGAAACCATGCTTCAAGAGCCAAAACAACCAAGACTATATTCCAAAAACAACACCATCAAGCATCTATTGTCTTCTTGATCAATTTCCTCCTCTTTGACCGTTTCTCCTTTTCCTTTAGGGAGTGTTTATTTGTAAACATAATATGTTCACCGATTAATCAACAGACACAACCGACATTACCGTGTCTTGACCAATTTCAAGTCGATGTAGACAAGAACTCGGAGACATCAAAATTGGAAGCTATTGACTGCATGGAGTTATCAAAGACGCATTGCTAATTGGCAAAACTGGTTATTATAGTCTAGCTGGTAGACACCCCTTCTTTCTACAATACGGTGGTCTTTGCCCGTTTAATTGAAAGGAGGTAATTCTGTCCTAGTCCTTGCTTTCCATTTGCATAAATACCACTGAGCCTACGAATGTGTGCATATTAACAGGAGGTAGCGGCCGCCAGCAATACAGTAATACGTGCAGTGGATCCCTCCGGAAGTCGTCTCGATGCAGAATAGGTATACCAACGAACCATAGTCAATATGTAAGGGGGAATCAGTCGAGTGAGCTTTTTTAGTAAATCAGCAATGACGTTCAGCAGAAAGTGGCAGGCTTTGGAAAGAAACAGTAACGCCAACAGCATAAGTATGAATTAAAACTGCTTTGTTTCGATCAGCGGAAACAATAAGAGCTTTGGCATTTTGGTGGATAGATCAACCAGCGAGCTGACAAGCTATTGACCAATGCATTGACAAGGCATCGCACACACAACGCAAGATTCAAATAGATAAGAGGAGGAGGGGTGGGGAGTAGGATTATAATAACAACTTGGCCGATACACTGCATTGAACCGCCATGCATGCAGTTCAAATGGAAGAGGCGCAACAACCGCTCAAGCCTTTGCATTGGATCAAAAAGCTTCGATTATCTCCGCTAAAATGAGCCCAGACCACTCGTATCTCCAAGCATCCTACGCCACCTCGACCGCCCAACGATGGAAACAGTTCGTCATCTCGATGTCTACACCGCCGTCTTCTACATCCTCAGCCTCGTTTTCATCCGTAACCCGCTCCTTGCAAGCAACATTGCATACGACACGGCACAAATGAAATTGCCAATAACAGCACAACTCACTCCACTGCATGGCTGTCCTGCCTGTGCTACATATACACCTCTTGCGGAAATTCATTTAAAAAAGGGAGACAATTTTCGTGCCATTGTGCTGGAATGTAAAATGCACGCAACTGGAGAAAACAAACCACAACGCAAGGATTCACGAGGCGCGAGTTTAGCTACTTACTTCAACTACTTGTTCAGACACTCAATGAGTTTATGGTCAACTCCCTCCTTTCAAAGGTTTCCTCTGATAAATGCTGCAATCAGCACTCAGCAACGTAATGTAATGCAGCTCACTGAGGCAGAGGGAAGCAAGAACAATCGAGTAATGTCAAGTTCAGTCCAGTCAAGAAGAGTAACATAAAACAGGCAATACGAAGTGTTCTCCT